CCATATCCATATCCATATCAATATCCATATCCATATCCATATCCATATCCATATCTATATCACTATATTTCTGCCCTATTTTACCTTCATCTTTAACCTTGCTATTATCCGTATCCTTAGTTTAATGAGTATCCTCAGCCTTCTCCCTTAATGTATACCTCTACTTATCTAAGTCTGTATAGACATCCCTATACCTCTACTTATTCCTATGCTTATCCCTATATCTACTCTTAATCCAAACTCTATTCTTCTGCTTATCTGTATCCCTATGCTTAGCCCTGCTCGTATCGCTTATCCCTATCCTTAACTCTTAATCTAATCCTCGTCTCATCCCTATCCCTACCTCTATCTCTATCGCTCTTTCTATCCCCATAGTTATCCCAGTGCCTTTCAATCCCACAGCCAATTCATATTACCTATTATATGCTTATCCGCCTCTCGGATAACTATTCGCGCCTCCTTCCTTCTATCTCTATCTAAATGGAGCATATAAACCGGCATCTGCTTCCCAACGCATAGGCTATTTCGCAGGGTATAATAAAGGCAAAAGCTGAGACACCATTGAAGCTGGAAGGCGTGGCCGCGCCATAGCCGCAAAACTGAGCCCCGACGACGAGCAAACAAAACGATCCGAGCACAACAACAACAACAACAAAAAGGAATAATAAAAAACAGAACAGAAAAGTTTTTGATTTTTGTGAAAAATGTTTTTCGTTTTTGTTTTCGGTGTGTGAAAAATGAAAATGTGCTGGCAATGCCAATGTTAACAGGGGATAGCTAAGTAGGGAGCGACGGGAGCGACGGCAGAGGAAGGCAGCGGAAGGCGGCGTTCAGGTTCACAATGAATGAAATGTGATGGCGTCGACAGGCAGTCAGTTGTGGGCGTGGCAGACGGCTGCCCATGAAGTTTGTTTGCCCGCCAGCTGACTACAGATGCTGTCGCGGGAGGCAGAGTGTGAGCAGCAGAGCTAGCCGGACCAGACCGGAAGCAATGAGACAATGGGGAGATGTGCGGAGGAAAGGTGTGTTTGGGTGAGGCTCCTTAGAGCCCATTTTTGGGGCCACACTAATTGACTTTTTATGCGCTGTTTCTCTGAAGCCAGCCCAGCCCAGCCCAGTCTCCCCCTGGGGGAGGGAAGCTAGCTAGCTAGCTAGCTGCCTGCCACCCACTTGCTGTGATCTCTGTTGGCCAATGGCTAAAAGTGAACTTGGCCCGCAAAAATGTTGGCAAAACTTCAGCTCAAGTAAAACGCACAACAAATGCTGCCTCGAAATGTTTGAAATGCTCCCCAGACCAAGCCAAACTTTTGGGGGGGGAGAGGGCGCAACTTTCGTTGGGGTTGAGCGTGGAGCTTGCAGCGGCGAGTGTGGACAATTACCTTGATGACAATTTAATTAGATACAGCAAGTGCACAATGAGAATCATATTAGATGAACTGCTGTTCGCATTAGCGCGAATTACATGAGGCGGAACAGCAACAACTTTCAGCTGTTAATTTGGCAAGACAGAAGCAACCCAAATCGAGGCTCTAACTGTACTTTTCTTATAGAAAGTGCCCAGGAAAATCTGACACAGACTAAAGTCAGAAAGCAAGACAGGTTAGACCAGTCGCCCTCTTGCCTGGTCGCACTATATATAACATCTATATAAGTGGGAATGAAAAGTTTTTCTGTCATAAAATGAGCTCCAATTGTAATGCACTAACTGCGTCCAAGTTCTTTTTTTTTTTTTGGCTGCCATCAGAAACAGACGCTAACAGAAACTGAATGTCATTTTTTTCATTAAAATTCGCAACAAGTTTTTGCATCGATTTTTGATAGCTGCCCAGAAAATTTGCTGAACAATTAGCGCAAATATTTCACTTCTCTGTGAAGTTAACCAAATATTTCCTATAATAAAAGAGAAGATAAGGAACAAGTGAGAGTGCTCTAGTTGGCAGTGCTCGACTGAGAGATATCCTGCATTATATTTTTGACTAATTTGAAGTATTCAAGGAGTTAAGAAATAGAACCTGAAACATTGCAGTTGCAGCTTGATAACGAGGAGGAGTTATGTCTAAAATTTTAAGTTAGTAGCGCCTGTGGGACGGACGAATAGACCGATCAACAGACTGATGGGCAGAGGAATGAATAGATAAACGATAAGACGGACAAAGAGACCGACGGATGAACGGACGGATGGACGGATAGATGGATGCAGGGATAGACGGGCGGACGATTGAATGGACGGACGGATGAACGGGCAGACAGACGAATGTAAGGACGGACCATTGAACGGACGGACAAGCGGATGGACAGACAAACAGACGATTGGGCGAACGAATGAACGGACAGATGTTGATGGTTACTTCTAAATAGGAATATATATTTTATCTAAAAAACATGAACCATGCCTTCTACCCATTACAGATATTATATAACCTATTAGCTTTCCATGAGTACGGGGTATTAACAATACCTAGCAAGTGAAAAGGTCAATTAAGGCACTTTTTATTAGACGTTTTTATAGACCTGTCACGTAATTAGTTACGCATAACAACTGATAATAAAATATATATATGTATATTATATATACATTTCTGATCCATATCTAGAGAGGAGTCATTGACGTCGTCTTATCTCTGTGTCTGCTTGGCTAACTGTAACTGAGATTAATCTCTCTGCTCTCGCATCATAAAAAGTGGCCTTGGCTCAGCCAGCTGGGACTACTATATCATATAGAGGCAATTCGAATGAAGTGTTATCAACTATATCCTTGTTTGTTAAGCTCTTTAGTTTTTTACGGTTTTTATTACTGAACAAACTATGCTGCATTCTTCTCAAGATATCTGACAAAAATAGACATTTGGTTATATGGCAATAATACAGATTAATGCTAAGCTGAACATATATATCTACATCGCTTTGATATAGCAAATAAAATCCCAAGTTTTAGTGCCCTCAACATATTGTAGATGGGAACTCGGGCAACAGGGAAATATTTTTCATCGGGATAATGATAAAAGTTGAGCTAGCCATCTCGCTGTCAGCTTGCCCTGTCCATCTGTCCATCCGTCTGACTGAACTGGATATTGGATAATAGATACTGAATGCTGGATATTGATTATCGGATAATGAGTAATATATATTGGATAATCGATAGTGGATATCAGTTATTGGATAATGGATTATGGAGAATGGATATTGGATATTGAATATTGGATAAGGGATATTGCATAACGGATATTGGATATTAGATATTGAACCTTGTATTTCGGATAAAGTGTATTGGATAAATAGTGGACTATAATTTATTAAGCTCAAAGAACAAGCGTATCCCCATCGTGCTGGACTTTCAAACGCCTCAGGATAAGAAGTTTACCCCAAGAAATTGGAGAAATCTTGAAAGATAAACCTTATTTGATGTGTATTACAAGAGCTCTATAGCAATATTCAAGATTAGTCAAAGCTAATTGCAGAAAGCACAAGTTGAAGCGAATGAAAGATAATTCACAATGGCTATATCAATAAAAAGTGTGGAAAGCTTGAAGAACTTAATGCTGGAGCACTTGAGGGCACGACGGGACAGGAGTTTAGGGGATGCCTGGATGTGGTAAGCCTTGACTCGCTCTGCCCACCTGTCCAATTGCCAATTTTCAGCGAATTCAGAGGCGTGGCAGTGCCAACAAATGAAGTTAAAGCGCGCGAAGCGTGGGGTTAGGGTGGGGGCACAGCGTGCGTCCAGCAGGCAACAGCTCCACTGACAGGCGGTGCGCAGCATGTGGCATGTGGCATGCGGCATGTGGCCAGCATCCACAGCGCACCTTCAAGCGCTGCCCCCCTTCGCTCGCCGTCCTCGCCAACGCGCTGCCTGCCTCGCCCACCCTCTGGCCTTGTGCAACAGCCTCATTATAAATAGCGGCGACTGTTGCACGGCGGCGACGCCGACAGCGACGGCGACGTCGACGCTCTGGCTACCTGTTGGAAATGCAAACACGCGGCTTTGCAACCAGCAGCGACGCTAGCAGCGACGCCAACGCGCACGCGCTGGAACCAACTCTCCACACGCAACAGAACATTTCGTGTCGTTTCGTTTCAGCTCCTCTCTCTGGCGCCTGCTCAAGCTACACACGCACCCTGCCCCTGCCCCCCGACTCTCCGGCCACTTCCAAGCAGAAAGGACGCTTGGCGCAATTTTTGAATATTCTGGAAGCCTTTAGATGCAGTTGATGCTACGGAAGAAACTTTCGGAGAACAAATTTTCATCTGAAGATCATTTTAAACGTAACGAGAATCAACTAAAAGCTGAAGTACAAGCGCACATAATGCGGATAACTTATTTAGCATGATTTATGGAGTTTAAATATGATTAATCCTTACCTTTGTAGAGTTTCATTGGCATCTTACCAAACGTCTCCAAGCTCTTAACAAAAGCAAAAACACATCACAGATAATACAATACCCTAGGACCTTAGGAACTATGAATTAAACATAAGTTCACTTATCCGGAAACATGCAGCTGGATGCTAAATTGGTGCAGCAAGCTAAATTAACAACCGCATAATATATATAATAATAAATAATCTTTTCCGGATAAAACTTATCCTATCCTAACAGGGGAATTAAACCCGTCGGATAACGGATGTAGCAAAATAATTTCAGATAAAATATGACAACAAAAAAACAGCTGCATATTAATGTATAATAAATCTTATCCAACTATACAATAAGCATAGGATAAAAGTTCCCGTAAAGAAATATAATATACATATGATCCCAGTTGAAGATCACCACACGGATAATACTTATCGTATTATGCCAAACGAATAACAACACTGGATAAAATTGTACAGGACTATCGCGATAATACACCAAATAATGGCGACCAAAGTTGGTAGTCAATCCTACAGTAACAGTCGGATAATACATTTTACGATATTTACTGCCGGATAATGTCAATAGTTGGTGATCAAGCAAATACTAACAACCGGATAATATATATGTTTTCTAATAGTGTCATTTTATCTTTCTCCCTAGCTGTGTTTGCAAATTGGAATTTATTATGTATAAAGACTTATCTTATCCGCAAGTGATCTTATCTTAAGCTGAGCAAAACTCTTATGAAACATTGCAAAAAAAAATATCAAAAAATCAAAAAATCTTGCTATTTTTGGTAGATTCAATATTCGCTCAGTGTAGCAGGATTAGAAGCGGCAAGAGTAGGAGACCCAGGCATGAGAGGGACGCAACGGCAACAGCTGAGCCGCGAGCATTCGTCACAATCGGCTGTAGATGGTCCAGATTGTGCGTGGTGGGCAACTGGCTAAAGTAGTTGGCCCAGATGCCAAAGGTCAAGAGGTCATTCTTCGGCTGCACTAGCTCCAACAGCACCTGTGTCTCGGACAGCAGACGAGCCAACGGCGTTTCGGTCCAGTTGAACTGCGTCACAGGCAGCGGCATCATCGACCCATCCAATGTGCTGGGCATGATCAGGCGACGCCGAGCAGCTGGAAATAGAGCCTCGATGCGTATGCGCTGGAAATAGTGGCGATTGGCCACATCGAAGCGGCTGGGAAAGATGCGTCCACAGCTGGAGAGTTCGTCGTCCACGCAGGCGAAGAGCGCACAGACCGCCTGTTCGCTGCGATCCACCAGGATGAAGGTCGTCTCATTGCCAAAATAGGCGCCCAGGCGATAGCGATAGGTGGCATATGCCACGGCGCTTTCGATGGGACGGCGCTCCAGCTGGAAGCTGCAACAGAAGCCGCCATGGCATATCTGCTGCGTCACATTGACAAAGTCCGACGGCAGCAGCTGCGTGCTAAAGATATCCAAATTGTAGTCCCTATAGGTGGCCAGCTCGGTGTGTCGAGCTGTGATCAATTGTGGCTGAAACGCGGGCAACGCTTCCGGCTCAACGGCGCCGCCTAGCGAGCGCTTGGGCAGACGCGCCTTGAGCAACTTCAGCGTTGGCTGCTGATAGATGGCAGCGATTTGGCGGCCCGAGCGTCCGGCATAGATGCCGGAGCCACTTGTCCGTCCGCTGGGCTGGCTGCCATCGGCGGCCAGGAGATTCACGTTGTTGGCAAAGGCCCAGCCCTCCTGCAGCTGCAGTGCGCCCAGAAATGGCAGCTCCGAGAACCAAAATGTCGGATAGATAATGTCCGTAATATTCCGCTCCAATATCAGCTTCATGGCCGGATCATAGAACAGCATGTCAAAGCAAATGAAATGACCGAAAGTCACGCCAAAATCTGTCTCGAACGTGGATAAGTCAGGCTGGCGCAGCACAGCCGACGAGTAGTATTCGCGTCGCCACAAATGGGTTTTCCTGTAGCGCGATATGACGCGGCCGCGCCGATCCAGGACGATGTTCGTATTGAATTGCCGAATCCCAGAGGAGGGACACGGATTCAACGCATCCGAGCCGTAATCCTTGCCGCACAGCTCCTTCTCCACCACGTTGATGACGACGTAGATGTTGCGGGCGCGTGTCGCACAGGATATTTCGACCAGGAACAGCTCGTAGTCGGGCGAAAAGCACGGCGTTATCTTCTTATCCGGATCTGGCACGAATGTCGCATAATCCCTATTATTCAATACATATTCGGGAAAGACAAGAATATCTAGCTCCGCGGTATCGTTCGACTCGAGCAATGCCAAGAAGCCAGCCGTTGCCTGTGTAACCCTCTCCTTGGCGGTGCCAGACTCGACCGGATACTCGACAACTCCAGCAAAATAACTTTTATCCGTGGGCAGCGAGAGCTGCAAAGGCACAAAATCTCAAACATAATTATATAGATATATATTCATAGCTCCAATATATACCTGTCTAGTGTTGGCTATGCATATGGCCAGGGAGAGCAGTCGTACAACTGACGCGTACATCTTAATGCAATGGCTCGGTTAACACTGAATCTTGGCCTCATTCCATGCGCAAAACGTAGGCTAGCCGAATTACTGTTATATTATACATAAGTACGACTAAGATCAGCGACTTCTGGGCCATAAAAGAGCCGTTAAAGTAGACGTTTAATAGCTAGCTTGCAAATTATGTCAGTCAAACTACGTTATCTGCGAAAAGAATTATGACTTGCCGATATGCACTTTATGATTTGATTTCCTTAATTTTGGATCTTTATTATTATTATTATAGTCGAAAATGGTTTATTTCATTATTTTCTTTGTTAGCCAAATCTAATTGCTCTATCCATCAAATGACGCATCAAAAATTATTTAAAAAGCAAGCGGCTTTAAGAGAATTTAGCCGTTATATTCGAATGTGAATTAAATACCTAAGTAATATAAAGCTACGGTACTAAAATATTATTTTTACATGTATTTTAAAAAACATTTCTTTTAACAATTAATAAACTGAATTTCATTATCAATTTATTTCATTTCAATTACGTCTTTAATTTGTTATCATATATTTTAAAGCTGTTAAGTTTGAATTTCCAACTAATTACTAGCTGGCAATGCTGCACAGTATATTTGCTTTTGGTATTTTTTAGTGACACTTACGACTTGTTAGCTGAAATTTGAAATCGTTGCATTTTAGCATGCATGGCCTGCAGTTCTTTTCATGCAGCTGGCAACGCTGTGCTGGTATTTTTTAGCCACACTTTGCATGCTGGACGATAACACAATTACAAAAATTTCTTATCGGACCAACGATAGCTGCGCGTTTATTTCAGCTGTTCAACAACCAAAACAACAACAGCAGCAACAACCGTATTAACATCAGCATTCGCAGTAGCGGCAGCCACAACAAACGTCCAGCACAAATACTCACCAAGCAATAAAATAGAAACAACAATTAAGTAACAAACACGCAAGTGCAACAAATTGGCAACACTTGCAAACGTACAAATTGTGAAGGTCATTCCATGCAAAAGCACTAAGACACGGAACAGATAGATACGGAGAAGGGGAGAGAGAGAGAGAGAGCAACAACAAATACTAACTGAAGGCAGGTTTGTGTTCTAAGCACGTGTGTGTGCGTGTGTGTATTGTTTGACTATTAATTAATAATTTATTCCATTAAAACCAAAACGTGGCATGACACAACAGAAGTGATAGACTGCCAAGCTTCCAACAAAAACAATTCAAAGAAAATAAACGGTAAGTAGCTGCCGTCCTTGGCACACACACACGTGCGTAACCGCGTGCGTGTGCGTGTGTGTGTGTCTTTCGAGTTCAAGCGCGTCTTATCAGCAACGTGCCAAGCAATAGCTAATGCCGGTAGCTGCTGATAAGATGCAGAACAAAGCAACTCATTATTAGACAAAAGTTTGTTAAGCAATCAACGCACTAACTTCTCCCCTTTCTCGCTCTCTTTCGCTCGTGCAGGAACCGCCATGGCGCTAAACATGAAGGCTCTGCTGGCCATGATCTTTGTCTTTGTGGGCTGCTGCAGCAACGTCGTCTTCTTGGAACTTATCATACAAATCGACCCGGGAGCTGGAAATCTGATCACATTCCTACAATTCGTCTTCATTGCCCTCGAAGGTCTTATCTTCACCTCCAAGTTCTTCACGGTCAAAGCGAATATTGCCCTCAAGGATTATCTCATGCTGGTGGTGCTGTTCTTTGGCGCGAACGTGTGCAACAACTATGCGTTCAACTTCAATATACCGATGCCATTGCACATGATCTTTCGCAGCGGGTCGCTGATGGCCAACATGATCATGGGCATTATATTGCTGAAGAAGCGCTACAATCTGAGGCAGTACAGCTCCGTGGCGATGATCACGGCGGGCATCATTTTGTGCACGCTTGTGTCGAGCGGCGATGTCAAGGACAACACGCATCCCACTCTGAAGGTGGACACCTCCTTCTCGGACTTCTTCTGGTGGAGCGTGGGCATTGCTCTGCTCACGATCGCCCTGCTGGTGACAGCCTATATGGGCATCTACCAGGAGGTGATCTACAAGCGCTATGGCAAGCATCCCAATGAGGCGCTCTTCTTCACACACATGCTGCCCCTGCCCGGGTTCCTCATCATGGCCAGCAACATCGCCCAGCACTGGAATATCGCTGTGGCCTCCGAGACGGTGGCTGTCGCCCTGCCCGTGCCCGGAGTGAGCTGGTCGCTCAGCTTTCCGTTGATGCTCTTCTATCTGCTGTGCAACGTGGTCACCCAGTACATCTGCATCAGCTCCGTTTATGTGCTGACCACGGAGTGCGCCTCCCTCACAGTTACCCTCGTGGTGACGCTGCGCAAGTTCGTCTCGCTCCTCTTCTCCATCATCTACTTCCGCAATCCGTTCACAATCTCCCACTGGCTGGGCACCATACTCGTCTTTCTGGGCACCGTGCTCTTTGCGAATGTGATCAACCAGGTGAAGGATGCGTACCAGGCGCGCCAAGCCAGGCAGGCCAAGCTGAAGACGGGCTAATCCAGACACGCCCCCCCCATAGTATAGCGCCCACCCCTCCCAGTAGAGGCCATTCGTGCATGCCATTGATATTGCTAACAGTCGCTGTCCCGCTCGCATTCGTGTGCTGGCTACGTCCTTCTCTGTTTGTATTTTAGTTTCAGTTCCCGCGCTTCAGACTCTATTGTATATGTTGTATATAGATAGTTAGTTAAGCTAATGCCGACTATTTGATACTCTGTAAGCCAAGCTCTTGACGCTGTACATGTCCCGTACCATGTAACCTTTGTCCCGCTTTATGTAATATTTCTGTTTTTTTACATAAAAGTTCAAAAGTAATTTTAGCAAAATTTTTAAATAATAAATAAACAAACAAAAAATTACCCGAGAGCTTTCGGTTATCTATCTCAACTCTGTCAAACTAAAGCCACATTCTCACTGATTTCATATCCCAGTTCATCTAAGTAAAACTTGAGTTACCTCTCACTCTCCCTGTCTCTTTCTCTCTCTCTCTTGATAACTATCATAAAACTCTCCCTCGCATGCCATATCAGTTCCTTCTATCATAACTCATATCAGCTTTTAAGTCTTCATCATCTCCATTTATTCATTTTCTCTCTCTTTCCCACTTTTGATTACGTCTCTCTCTCTCTCTCTTTCCCTTTCTATCCTAACTCCGACTTCGCCATATGCTTTCTGTCACACTCACTTGTTATTCTGTGTCTCTCTCTCTCCTCCTTTCCGTGTCTATCCTATTCACTCTCTCCCACTTAGAATGTCCTTTCTCTTTCTCTCTGCCTTTATTTGTCAAGCTGTTCCTCTATCTCCTTCTTCTCCCGTTCTTTCACTTCGTCTTTTTCTCTTTCTTTTTCGTTTCGTCAGCTCTTTCTCTCTATCCACTTTATACTCTGCTTATCTTATCTAACTTCTATTCACATACTCCCGCCCTCATTATCCCTCGCTCTATCTGTTTCTCTCTGTCACAATGCATTTATTTCTCTTTGTTGCATTCCACACTCTCTCGCTTTCTCCCTCGTGATCCTTCTCTTCCTGGAACCATATTTGCAGGCTTCCTTTCTTCTCCCTGTTCCCTTCTACTTCCATTCATATTTTGGTCTTCTTCCATCTCTCTCTTTACCACGCTCTCTCTCTCTCTCTCTATGCCACTATTTCTCATCGTTTTTTTACATTCTCTTTCTATTACATTCTTTCTCTATTTCCTAAGCCACATTTTCGTCTTCTCTCCTCTCCCTCTCCCTCTTCCTATCTCCATCTCTCTATTCTACTAGCTATCTCTATCTATCTCTCTCTCTCCCATAGTCCCATCATCACTCCATTACGTTCACTTTCTTCCTGCTCTTTCATTTTCTCTATTTCTTCTCATTCTTCTTCTTCTTCCTCTTGTTCTTATAGAACAAATAGTTCTGTTTCCCGCTCTTTTCATCTGGCTGTGGTCTATTGTCTTTTCCACAGCTGTTGAAACACAAATATTAAGTTTATTAGGCGAACCTGAGTGTCGAAGCGACTGCTCGACTAGCAAATACCCTATTCAAGTGAATAATACAAATTGCTAAAGCTAAAAAAACGATATACCTAATTTAATGTAACCATATACCTAGATAAATCTACATTCTAGATAAATCTACAGCAGAAGGTTCTTGGCCAACTTTTCAATATACCCTCTGCGAGTACTCAAAGAGCATGTCTTACATAATGCCTAAGACCTGCCTATGCTCTATGTAGGCCTCTGGCTCCAGTCCCCCATGGCGCTGTCAGTATTCAGCTGCTTCGAAAGCGCCACAGATGTTACGAGTCTAAAACTGTGCCCTACTTAAGCAAGTGCGTTCCAAGCTTCAAGTAAATAAAAAATATTTTTTTGCTTAATAAAAGTAGATATAAAATTTAGAGAAATTTTATATTTTTTGGTAGGTTCCTTTGAAATAGTTTTCGAGCTGAAAGTTGAAGCTGAAAATAAGTTATTTTCATTCTACTTATAGCTGAGTAAACGTCTTCCTAGGGTAATAGAGCTTGCCAGGGTTTCGGGGTGTCTACGAGTCGGACACTCCCCATCACAACTTTTTTACTTATCTTCAAATATGTGAATGATAAAAAAGGAAAAAATTTAAAACTTTAAATGGAATTCATAAAAACTTTAATCTCAATAATGCAGAAGAACCCGCCTGATGGCACCAGTGCTCCAGATTGCTATAGTATCTCTTGGGTAGTACGTGCCTAGAACGTGGCGGGTCTGAGTTTGTGCAACTTTCATTGATTGTCTTCGCAGTTGAAGTCACATAGACTATTGACGCCATGGTAAAAACTCATTCTCCCAGCAGCACAGATCAGTTGGTCTTACGATTGCGGAGCTGTCAGTACTTAACTTTCCTGAAACTGAGCGCATTGTCAATCTACTGCAAGTTAAAACTTTTATAAATTATAGATATACTATAAGAACACATGGGAAGCATAGATCGCAGCAATACCTTGAAGAATTTGTGAAATGTTCTATGTGAACTCGGCTTCTAGTGTAAGAATCGAGCTGAAATTTGGAATAGAAAAAGCTTTTATCTGCAGCTGTGACAGATAACAAACTGAGCTCAATCGGATTACTATAACCTATAGTAATCTTAAGAAAGTAAGCGCAAATGTGAGATATCAAGCAAACAACTTAACTGCATTCATTACAGAAAACTCTAGGCCAAACATAAGAATCAATCGAGGAAAACTTTAAGAATTTGTGAAATGTTCCGAAACCTGATATAGCGATGGCCTCAAGCTATAACTCTAATATATAGCAAACATAAGCAGATTGGATTACTGTAACCTAGAATACTCAGAAGTTATTCAAAGTACAGTAAATAAAAGGAAAATCTATATACTCACTTAGCAGTTGTAGTTAGGGGTTATAGAAGAAGAAGAAAATATCTTTAGATGTAATCACGAAGTATTGCCATAGCATGAACGAAGTCTCGATAGTCAATGCTGTGCAGTCAGGGTATCTGTAAGTCAGTCAACATTTTCATCCACTGCAAGCCTTGACGGCCAAAGATAAACGAGTTCCATTTCTTATGACCCACGCAGAGCTGTGAAAACTATGTCAACATTATCTTAAATATATCTAACGTATCTATATAGCTTATATGTCAACAGTTCGTAGAGCTGATTCCTGAATTGGGGTCTAGCAAAACTTCATTTGACAATTTGATTTATCGTAGTCAAACCCAGTTTTTATAGTTCGACAAGCTGTCTACAGCTATTGCTCTATATATAGATACATGTCTCCAGGTAGACGTCCCCAAAAATAACCGAAAGATAGCCCTGAGCTGTCTCGGGTCCCTTGATCTATTATCGCATCACATTTTTATCAGTTCCATCAAAAATTATGATAGTTGCTTCCTCTTCTAACACTTAAATGATATTTCACCTTCTTCTTTGATAGCTCAGTGAGTATTCTCGGTGAAAAGTTAGAAGAGATCTTCAGGGTCCTCGCGTCACTCTTAGACTTCAGTTAGTAAATTCAATCATAGAGCTCTCAGCTGAGCCAGTTATTGTCTATATATCACTCATCTCCCGCTGTCCTCCAGTTCTCTCACTGCCCATCTCAACATGGCGCTCAACGTGAAGGCTCTGCTGGCCATGATCTTTGTCTTTGTGGGCTGCTGCAGCAACGTCGTCTTCCTGGAGCTGATCATCAAAATCGATCCGGGCGCTGGCAACCTGATCACATTTCTGCAGTTCCTCTTCATTGCCCTCGAAGGCCTGATCTTCACATCCAAGTTCTTCACGGTGCGGCCGAAGATCGCCCTGCGGGACTACGTGAAGCTGGTGGTGCTGTTCTTTGGCGCGAACGTGTGCAACAACTATGCGTTCAACTTCAATATACCGATGCCATTGCACATGATCTTTCGCAGCGGGTCGCTGATGGCCAACATGATCATGGGCATTATATTGCTGAAGAAGCGCTACAATCTGAGGCAGTACAGCTCCGTGGCGATGATCACGGCGGGCATCATTTTGTGCACGCTTGTGTCGAGCGGCGATGTCAAGGACAACACGCATCCCACTCTGAAGGTGGACACCTCCTTCTCGGACTTCTTCTGGTGGAGCGTGGGCATTGCTCTGCTCACGATCGCCCTGCTGGTGACAGCCTACATGGGCATCTACCAGGAGGTGATCTACAAGCGCTATGGCAAGCATCCCAATGAGGCGCTCTTCTTCACACACATGCTGCCCCTGCCCGGGTTCCTCATCATGGCCAGCAACATCGCCCAGCACTGGAATATCGCTGTGGCCTCCGAGACGGTGGCTGTCGCCCTGCCCGTGCCCGGAGTGAGCTGGTCGCTCAGCTTTCCGTTGATGCTCTTCTATCTGCTGTGCAACGTGGTCACCCAGTACATCTGCATCAGCTCCGTTTATGTGCTGACCACGGAGTGCGCCTCCCTCACAGTTACCCTCGTGGTGACGCTGCGCAAGTTCGTCTCGCTCCTCTTCTCCATCATCTACTTCCGCAATCCGTTCACAATCTCCCACTGGCTGGGCTCCATACTCGTCTTCCTGGGCACCGTGCTCTTCGCCGATGTGCTCAGCCAGCTGTGGGATGCCTACAAACTACGCATGGAGCGACGCCACGAGGCGGTGCCAAAGACCGTCGAATATAGTCGGATATAAAGTTAAGGCAAATACATTTCACTATTAAAACGATTCGATTAGGATAAGAAAACAAACTGTTGTTTTTTTAATGGGACTCACTCAGCAAATAGTACGTGTGTGTGTGTGTGTGTATGTGTGTGTGAGCTTGTATATATATGAGTTAATACTTATGGAAATCGGAAAATCGTGTTATCAGTTCACACATTCGCAATAAATCGCACATAAATGTTAAAATGTAAATTTCAAAAGAACAGAACAGGTAAAAAAAAGAATATATAATATATGAACATAAAGGTTATCATATAGTTGCTATATAGGCCATATAAAATACGCGATTCGTATGACAGTTGGACATGAAGTCGGAATATACATATACACAAATTTATATATATATATATACGGAGGGATATATATATATAGGCGTATATATGGCAGCCGATTAACGGTTGGCAAATTATCAAGTACAGTTAGCCTATTGCTCATCCTTGTCCTTGGCACCATGCTTCAGGATGCGCGTGAATTCCAGATAGTCGAATAGGCCATTCTTGATGGGCGCCTCCCGGTACATCTCGTCCACCTGAACAAGAGAGGGATATAGTTGATCAGTATATAAAAATATATCGTCAGTTTGTCCATTGCAGCACTCACATCTTCGTCTGTGAAACGATCGCCCATTGTGGTGAGGAGCTCGCGCAATCGATCCTCTGGCAGCACGCCCATGTTCTCCTCGTCGAAGCAGCCAAAGGCATTCTTGATCACATCTTCGGGATCGGTGCCCTGCAGGCGTTCGCCGAAGAGCGTCAAGAACATGGTGAAATTGATGGGGCCGGGCGCCTCGTTCATCATGCCGTCCAGATAGTCATCGGTCGGATTTTTGCCCAACGAGGCGAGCATATCGTGCAGATCCTCCTTCTCCACAAAGCCATCACGGTTCTGATCGATCATATTGAAGGCCTCCTTGAACTCGGCGATCTGTGCCTGATCGAACATGGCGAACACATTCGATGTGGCGCGTTGGGCGCGCTTCTTTGTCGTTGCACGACGTCCGGCGGTTTTGCGGGAGGACATCTTCTAGCTGTGTGTGTGTATTGGTGATGTGTGAGTGTTAGCTAGAAGAAATACAAAATGTAATATAAGCTGCAATCTCATCAATATGTCTATATATAGCCAAAGCGTTGCAGCTGCGGCGCCAGCTCCAAAGCCAAAGCCAAACCAAACTGTGTCAACAGCAAAAGTGATTCGATGATCGACTGCTGAATACGCTATGTGGCTCTCTATAATTATGACATTAACTTACTAAATAAATTTTGTATTTTTTAAAAAATATGTCGTAAAATACTAAAGCTGACATGTACAAAACAAGTTGCAAAATCTATATACCTCAGTTCAGTGAGTGCACAGGGTATAGAAAACAGACACGCACACACACATGCATGTACGAGCGAGTTATGTGTGTGAGTCATGCAACCAAAATGGCAAAAATGACAACGTCAACGGCTGACTCCCAATGTGTGTGTGTCGACATATGTATGAATGTATGTATGTATGCGTGCTTATCAATGCGGTGTCATTTGCTTTCAATGAATAACAAAAAGCAAACACACACATACACACAGCAGCGAAGCCTCGCTTAATTGAAAGTCCATAAAAGGAATAAAAACAGCAGCCGAAAAGAGCGACTTCTGTGTGTATGTGTGTGTGTGTGTCTTATTTACACAGCAACTGCCTGCTGCAAGAGCAGCCGCGCCCCATTTTCGAGCCCAACAAATGGTCTGCTTTAACGAATTCCACGTAAATCACTTACAAAGCGCAAAACTGCTGCTTCTTTGCATTCATTTTGTTGTTTTCTTTTATATAGGGCTCCGACGCTGACTCATACACACAAAAACGCACAACCACAAGCATACATGTTAGCAGAGTGGATCAGAGTTTTTCTAGCCGCATTGAAACAATGGCTTTTCATTTGTTAATTTTTTCTGCTCTTTTGTTAAATAAATAAATTTGTAACTTACCAGTTGCCGGAACGTACGAACGTCTTGTTTTTAATACTTGTAATTAAACTGTTGCCGCTGCAGCCTATTTGTTGTGTTGTTCGCTGTTTGCACAGATGACAAATGCTTGTGATATCGATATGGACGATAGCTTTTATATTCGATACGTTAAATGTACAACCAGACCAAATGCAGATCTGTACAGTATTTTTTCGTTTGGTATTTTATCGTTGACAGCTGTGCTTCCTAAATTTATACAAATTGAGCCAGCAAGTCAAAGAAATTTTTAAGTACATGTAAATATAAAATGCATTTTAAAAACACTTTGAAATCTGAGCTACTTAACTTAATTTATTTACTTGTCTATTACTTAAAATGTCAACCCTTCTTTGCCAGTGATGTTATCGATATACATGGTCTGTAATAAGCCAATATCAACTGTAAGCGCCACTTTCAAAAATACAATATAACGCCACAATGTAGAGGTATATTTAAATATTTGCACATAAAAAAATAGTTAAAATAAAACGAAAAATAAACGACCAATATATTTTATGCCAATTTGCTGCAACTTTAAGCAACTTCACTTATAATTGGGCACACTTGCTTAAAGCTGTTTAACATTATGTGTGACCAGCTGTCAGTTAGTAAAAATAACCAATATTTTACTACTGACCAATTTACAGGATTATCCGTCATGTCGAGCTCAGCCACACTGACGGCAGTGGCTGAAATTCGAAGCGCAGCAAATACACACGGCGACGCAAGAAGGGCCAAAATAAACAGCAACAGCAACAGGGGCAGTCGACAGAACGGATTTATTAAATGCACATGCATATTTATTTATAAACTTGTTAGCGTACGCAAACGTGTTACAAATGCGCCGCAGTCGGAACGCCGCCGCATCTTCTCGTCTGTGTTAAGTGTGCCCAAGTGCAATTATCGAGCGCAGCCGCCTGCCGCCTCCTTCGTTTGTTGTTGTTGTCGCTGCTGCTGTTATTGCTGTTGTTATTTGTATTTGTTGTTTTTGGGTGCTAATATTTTGTTTGTGTGTGTGTGACTGTGGCAGTGGAAATTCTATTCAATTCTGTTGCGGAAATTAAGTCGCGTATCGTTGTGTCTCTTTGCCTATGTGCGTGTGTGTGTGAAAGAAAAAGGTGAAACAAAAAAAGGCGCAGTTGCGGCTGCCGCCGCAGCCGCAGAGCCGCGCAGTGTAGCATTCGTATGCAAGAATTGTCGCTGTCGTCATTATTGTTGAGCGTCGGCGTTGACGTCGCCGCGTCCGGTTTAAATTCAATCAAGCGGCAAGCGAAATAAAGCAAACGATAAATTAAATAAAACATTGCCAACGTCGCATTGTTGTTGTTCGACTGCTTCTTCATACTCTACTGCTGCTGTTGTTATTGCCTTTTGAACGAAGCTTTTTACCGCCCAACTACCTCGCCCGCTAGCGCGCCGTTAGCTTAACGAAACTCGTGCGAGTGCATTCAACTCACGCACGCACTGAACACAAGTAACATTAACAACAATAACAACAGCAGTCAAAATGCTGCAGTGGCTATTGTGAATTAGCATACAGAACTGAACGAAACTTTTGTTAAGCTTAAGCCGACTGCGCCACCACAGCCGCCGCCGCCAACCGCAATGCTTGCTAACGTGCCGTCAACGTCGAGTGCTGTCACTGCCTCTACCGCTGCCTCCGCCACAGCCGCTGTCACAGCAGATAACTGTGATGAGCGCACACGTCTACTGGGCAGCACATCGACGCCAACGCCGCCGCCGCTGCCGCCGTCGCCGCCAAAAACGTTGACGTTGCCGCTGATCCATGCAGCGACGCATCCGTCCCGCAACAGCAGCAGCAACAACAACAATCACAGTGGCAGCAATAGTAATAACAACGACAACGAAATGGAGGCCAGCAATAATAATTACAATAACAACGACAACAATCGCAGCGACGTGGACGATCTGTCCGAGGAGACGGCCACAACGGCCGGTGCGGCCGACTCGAGCGATCAAAGTGATAAATTCAACCGCCCGCCCACCCACAATCAGAAAAAGCCCAAACTCAGCAAACTTGGCACTAAAAGCGTTGGACTCAAACGGTGCGTAAAGCCAACAGCTCTCCAGCCTTCCAATAAGACACCAACTCAATTTATTCCCTATAATTATATTCTCTGCCTCTCTATCTCTGTGTGTTTTCTTTGCTGTGCAGCGTGTCGTTTGGCTCTTCGAAAGGATCCATGGTAGAGACTTTGGTGTTTGAGACGCCAACGCCTCTCTCTGAGCACGTGGAGCCGAGCTTTGGTTTCGATGCGGTCGATGCCGCTGCTGCTGCTGCTGCCGGCGCCGCTGCTGGTCAGCCGCTGCTGGCAGCAACTACAACAGCAGCAGCAGCGACGCATTTACCGCTAGTCGGCAACAATTACGCCACTTACGGTGACTATGCAAAACTGAATATGGACGACAGTGGCATCGAGGTGCAGGAAGAGTAAGTAAAAAAACAAAGACTAATAAAAAGAATATATAAAGAGAGCACTAAGTAAGCAATTAGTGCAAGAGAAATAGCAGCTAAGCGCTTCCGATCACCAATGCAATGACTGAGCGAGACGTCATAGGTTTCCACAATGATGGGAACTCAAAACTGAACGAAGATAAAAGAGTGTTTGTGGAAAGCTTGTGAATGATACAAGGTGATGGTGGGAACCAACAACTGAACGAAGCTGAAAAAGGTGGAGAGGGAAACGGAAATGAAGATTTAAACAGGAGTTTGTAATTTCGTTAAGGTGTAAGAGTTGATCATTTCTTGTCAGTGATGGGAACCAGAAACTTGACGAAACTGGAAAAGAGTAAAGTGTACTAAGGATATGAGAATTCGATCAGTGCAGAATAAGTTAGTTTCGTTAAGGGAAAGAACTTGTCCATTACGTATGCAAAGTGCACAGAACGGAAACCTGACTCCGCGCTCATCTCTTGCACAGCAGCCACAAGAAAGTTAATGAACCCTTTATATTATGCAGTTCGTTTTTTACATTGCGCTTTTTTTCATATATGTATGTATACAAAACAACGTGCTCTTTTGTTTAATGGATGTGCTCTAAATTGGGACTCTACTTTTATGGCGCATTAAAAAACAAAAGATCATGAGAGTAATTTTTTTGTCAGCTTTCACTTGAAAATAAGCTGCTGGTTAAGCGGCAGCTAAGCCTAAGCCACACACACATACAATCGCTGGAAATCCAATTGGCATGCATTGAACTCTGCATAAAAACAAACAACCCCGCCAAAAGAGAGAAACAGATAAAAATCCCAACTTTTTTAAATCGATAATTACGTTGGAAGTTTAAAAGAAGCAAATGAACTACATCTGATAAGACACACACACTCACACTACATATACACAGGATGCGCCGCTCTGTTTACTTAAGTTGCTCTCTTCCTCGCTTCTCGCTCTTGTTCCGCTACCCATGCCTATTTGATTTGCCACCACCAACAACTCCAACTGGAGTTTTTCAAACTGTTTTGGTCTGCGCCGGCGCTGCAGTTGCGCGTTCTCAGCAGCAGCAGCAGCCGTTGAATACCGTTAAACTGCGCTGTCGTCGTTTCGTTGCTTACATAATGTTGCGTTATATGTGTGCTTGTGTGTGTGTGTATTTGCATTTTAAAGCATGATGTAGGTCAACTTCATTTGGTGGTTGTTGACCCACATCTTTTTTGGGCTCTGTTTAGGTGCCTGACTGTCTGTGGGTGCATAAACGCGCGCGCATGCATGTGTGCGCGTGGCTGTTGTCTATTAACTGCGCCACACCCACGCAACGCCTTTTATAATTAAGACTCGCCTCTTGCTAAGCTGTTTATCGATAAACCCAATCGCCCACGCATTTTTTTTTTTTTTTTTTTGTAAATTATCTGATTATTGCGTGTGGTCTCATCGATAGCTCGTTGCTGCTTTGTCGATAGTACGCAGTTTGGCGTTGCCAGAGCTCGCACTTATTTTGTTGACCTTTCCCGTTTGACTCTCTCTCTCTATCTCCCTGTACGTGTGTGTGAGCTTTAATTTGCCGGTTCGTGGGCTTCAAGCGCGACCGCGTGATATCATCAAGCGCCACTTGCTGCATGGAAACATTCTTTGGCTTACGAACTACAGCTACTTAATTTCAATAGAGCCGTTAATTTTTTTGAAATACTAGAATTGAAATACTCTGCAAAAGCTGTCAGGGTGATCGTTCGATTAAATAGAAAGAGTTCAAACAAAGACATCGAGAGATAGGGAGGGATAAAGGGAAGATGGAGAAAAAAGAAAGAGGAAAATAAAGGAGGAAAGAGAGAAGGAAATAGATAGAAATAGAGAAAGGGAATTAGAGATAGAGAGAGAAAGGAAGAAAGACAGAAGGAAGGAAAGGGAGATATATAGAGAGAGGGAGAAAGAGAAAACGATATATTAAGAGAAAGGAGAGATATAGAGAAAAATATTTGGAGAGTGAAAGAGAAAAATAGAAAGAGGGAAACCCAGATAGAGCAAGTCAAAGAAGGAAAGAGAGAGACAGAGAGATACAGATAGAATGAAAGTAATAAAGAAAGAATGAACACGAGAATTTAATACAGCTCTTTTCTACTTGTTACAAAACAGAGAATATAACGTGAATACACACAGCGTAGAAGGGTATAGAGCTGGTGAAGCATAAGAATAGACAAAACCATTTGCTGTTATTGATTATGTTTATGAGATCGAAGATGGAAGCTTGAGAATGTGAATGTGAATGTGAATGAGAATGAGATGAAATAAAAATGAGTTGAGGTTGAGGTGAGGCTGCGGGCATTAACACAGTTGGCCCGGATGCTGGGCTGACTGACCCCAGCCAGCGCCTGCCCCACGCCCGATCCACGTTTTTCTTCTTCTTCATCTTTATCTTGATCTGGCAGCGCTTGCCTTGGTAATTTTCAAGTGAATGTCTTGAAATTCGAGCACCTTGCGCACGCCTGTGTGTGCGTGTATGTAATCTACGTGCAAGCTTTAGCTATTGTGAAGGTACATCTGTATCTGTGTGTGTGTGAGCTGTCTGTCAGTCGATTGATTTTCCGGTACCCCAATACACTTGTGAAGCATGTCAGCAGGAGGAAGAAGAGTTAGCAGCGGCAGCAAAAAGGCAGCCATTGTCACATTTTGTGTGTGTAATGTTAACGGTAATTGTGCCGCTGGTCAGTCGCTCAGTCAGTCAGCCCTATTACCTACATACATACACACACACACGCATGCTGTACGTGCGCTCTGAATAGTTTTATGGCGGCGTCGACACAATAGAAGCACAAACACACATATGCACACATACAGAGACAACGTTCCCAATTGTCAGCATCAGCGCGTCTGTCCGTCTGGCAACCCTGTTTATTAACTGTCAAGCACAGCCGAAATAATACAAAAAAAAAGAGAATATAATAAAAGAATATATGGAAAACAAAACAAAATGTTTCAATACATTTAAGAATGTGTGTGTCGGTGTTCCCCATCTACAACCCCTGGCTTGGCACGATTTCCATTTATCAGTCAGCTTCCCCAATGGCTCTCCAGATTACCTTTTATATAGTTACGTGTTTATGTTTCTTATGTTATTATTTTTATTTTCGTTCACGTTGTGTATAACAGCAGCAGCACTAGTCGCAGCCGCAGCAGAGAGCGGCAGCGGGAGTGCGCGAGCGCAAAAGAGAGTGCTCTCTTGCGTCGCGCGCTCTCTTCACATTACTTTGCATTCTTGTGAGTGCGCAAAAAAGGAGAAAAAACGAAAAAGTGATGTCATGTTTGTTAGTTTAGCAGCGTTGCCAGATGTGGCACGTTGGCGTTATTGTTTGTTTGTTTGTTTTTGCTATTATTACAATGTGCGTTTATGTTGCTGTTGCTGTCGTTCATCTTATTGCGCATCTGCGACAACAACAACGCAAAAAAAACGGGAAATTGGCGCAGTTCGTTCAGTTCTATTGTTGCTGTAAAACAGCTGCCAAATCTCCGAAATTGCCGCCTTTTTCACTGTTTGTTTTTGTTTGGCCAAAAGATAATTGCGCACATTTCCCAATTGGATTTTTTTGTTTACGTTTACTGCGTAGCAGCCAAATTTATTGAAGAAAGTACAGCAACTATTTAAAGATCAAAATGAAACTATATTTTTTCGCTTTCTTGTTTGAATATAGTTCAAATATGAAAGGAAAAGAAAAAATTAGGAAATGTTATTGTTAAATATATTATAAAATGATTTGAATTATTTTTCTTGAACATACAATTTTCATATTCTTGACTAGAATATTTAAATTTAATTATTTAGTTTTTTTTTATTTCCAAAATTACATCGCAGTTAATTTCCAGTTAGAAAGAAAAAAACTTGCTAGGTGGCAACCTTAGCGTATGAACTTCACAGTTGGAGAGCGCACGCTGGCACTCTCGCGTACTCTCTTAGTTAGCACGGCTCAGCAACGCGCGCTCCTGCAAACATTTGTGTACGTGTGTGTGTGTGCGTGTATTGTATCTTTTACTTTTTAGCAGCAAGCTTGCAAGTTTAGCTAGGCAAACGCAGCGACAACGCCAAACAGCCAACAACAAACGAGAATTACGTGCGGGGCGCTCGTTCGCTCATTGCTTGGAATTCGCCGTATTCTTCTGCCACTCGTTGTTATTGTAAATTTTCATTCTTATTTTGTTATTTTTTTTGCTGTTGATTTTTTTTCAATCGTGTTCCGTGTTTGGTGAGTTGTGTCTTTAACAAACAACCCCAGCAGCCGAGCGCGAAACGGTCGAGAGAGTCGAGTAAAGGGCATAGACAGCCAGCACAGTTCGGACGGACAGACGGTGGTTCGCAAAAGTAAAACGCGCGTAGAATCGTTGAAAGAGGAAGCAGAACGTTGAAAACATACAGCCAACGAAGAAGAAGGAGTAGCAGCAGCTGCTGCGGAAAGACAAATTGTCAAGTGCGTGAAATTAGTTGTTAACAAATTAAATGCCAGCTAAATGCAGAGTGACAGCAAAAACGAAACGAAAAACAACAATTGCAAAAGTCAATCGTGCGTGCCAAAAAGGGACACATAAACACACAAACACGCATGCACACCTACACGGTTGAGCAGCAGTCAGTGCAAGTGGTTGGTGTATTAGTTAGTGTAAGGGAGAGAGAGTGAGAGAAAGGCGCTGTTTGCACTCATAACACCCACTGCAGCAGTGTTGGTAAATGCAGGTTTTTTTGTAAATGCCCAAAACACAATTGAAATGCCATGGCAAAAAAATATAGAAAACCAAAATTAGTAATAAAACAATGTGAAAGTAATTTGTGCCATTGTTGTACAATGTAATTCGCCCCATACACACATATACTTATATACGCTGTTACGCTTAGCCAATTGCTGTTGTTGTTGTCCATGGTGGGATGCGCACAGTGAGTTCATCGCAAAAAATAATACACACTAGCGCCCCCTTGAGTTCTCCTCGCTCAACAGCAGGCCTCGTTTACCCGCCAACGCCACTTCACCACCCCATTTGCCACTCCCCACGCTCGCACACTCTCTCGCTTGCGCGCTCTCTCACACTGCTTCACTGTGTAGCGCAGCTCTGCTAATGCTCTGTGAACGCAATTAAAATACACTGGCCCGACTAGCGCATATTAGTGTATGTGTGTGCTGCCTGTAACAGTGTGCGTTAAAATATAGTGCCTTGTTTGTACATAAATTAGACATAGCTTTAAGTTTAGACGGTGTTCGTGCCCGTTGCGACGTTGTTATTTCTATATATATATATATACATATATATATATATATTTATATACATGTTTGTATGCTTATAATATAAATTCTATAATATGGGCATGTGATCGCATCTCTGTGTGTTTTAAAAATTTTGTTGAAAATAAAATGCCGACAGCGGCCGCAGTCGCAGTCGCAGTTGGCGCAGCAGCAGCAGCAGGTATGCGCGCCGCAAAGCAGCGCTGTTTTAACAGCATGCAATACAGTAAACCAAAAACAAAATGTCTTTTTTTCCAATTGGAATGCAAATAAATTGCTCCTGCTGCTGTTTGACGTCAAGTGCAAAAATGTTCAATTAACATTTCGTTCAACTGTTAATTTCATTTTCCTTTTTCCATTTTTTTTAAATGTTACGCGCGGGTGGGGCTCTTTCACTGACATAAATCTAACATGGACACAAACACACACATACATACATCTCTGTACATATGTATGTGGCACAGTAATTTGTTAAATTAATTTACGCTGCTCTCATTGCTCGCCTGCGTGCGTGCGTATGAGTGTGCATGTGTGTGCTTGTGTGTGCTGTGACGTCGTCCAAGAACTAATTGAAAGCTCTACTGTGCTGCGTTGTTTTGCCGCCCCAACTTGATGCGCTCATCGCTGTGCAAGAACTAAACAGCAATAACAACGACAGCCAAGCGCGTCTGGAAGGGGAAGAAGTAGAGAAGAAGACCGAAGAGTGAAGAGCAGCAGTTCTCAAGTTCGCTGCATTTGCTTTCCAACACCTTGCACTTAGTCGCTGCTATCTCACTCTCACTCACACTCCCACACCAGAGCAACAAGTTTTTAGTTTTATTTCTGCTTTGCTTGTTGTGCTTTACTTTAAAGGAAGTTTATGATGAGCAGACAGCCGCCTATCGTGCCTCCATCCCTCTCTCGCTCCTACAGCAGTTGGCACTTGAAAAATGAGAAATATACAAAAAAAAAACTTGTTTTTCGTTGCTTGTAACTTTGCTTGTTTCTTTTGTAGTGCTGCTTGTTACAGTTGTTACTGTACTTGTTGTTGTTGTTGTCGCATTCGCATATCAATTTCGGCACATGACGTAAGCTTCACATGTTCAATGAGCCGCCAGAAACAACAACAACAACAACAACAGCAGCAAGAACATTAGTTCGTACGTTGAATTTATGAAGTGTATTCGAAAAGTAAACAGATAAAACAACTTGGCGCTGGCTGATGAAATCGTTTTAGATTCAATTCGTTTCGATTTCCATTCCCATTCGTTACGCTACAACATTCACTATTTTTCAGCTAAGATTTCTATCACGTATGCCCTGCAATTAATATAAATTGTCTATAAATAGGCATTAGGCGAATTAAAAGCTATTCCAATTGATAACAATTGAAAGTATCCGGGAGCTTAGCTCTAGAAATATCCTGTAATTGGCTAAATGTGCTATTTTGAGTGGTGTACATAGAACAAAAGCATCTGATGTTGATGACAAGTCAAAGAGTGGAGTTACCGTCATATAGAGCACCTTAAATACCCTTTAAGTGTGGGAAGAATCGAACAAAAAGTGCGAAATAAATAAATACGAAAATTGCTAATAACTTAAAGAGTATTCTAATGGTAGGTCTTTTGCAATACCCTGCAATTTCTATAGCAGTAAATGCTGAAAGTGTTAACAAGCGGCATCTTCGACCTTATCGATTGTACATATGTATAAAATTTCTAATCAGTGTTTGTATTCTGGCCGCTGACTAAAAGCTGCTTCAATTGACTTATTAAACTAGACCAAATACGATAAGTAAATACCCTGTTAATAGCAAAAATTTGGTTTATAATGATGTTATAATCTTTACAAGATTCAGTTAAATATGAAATAGTGAAGATCAATTATTTTACATACCAACCTCATCTGTGATACCCTGTAAAAATGAGTATCACATAATGTATAGATGCTAACCTTGTAGTTTAAACAAGAGTATTCATTAACACTTTATCTTGATCTATTTTCATATATGATACAAAATGTACCTGCCCTATAAATAGCTTTTGCTTATCACAACCTCACAGTGTGAATTATCGTGAGTAGACAGTTAATAGAATAATTCCTAGTCACTTAAAATTCCAAACATATTAACAAATTGAATATGAATCAATTCAAACTTTATTTCGAGTGAAACTCAAGCGGTAATCTCAGAAGTTTAGCATGATTTAAGTTTTATATCTTAAGAAGTCTGGGAAGAATAGTGTTTAGTTAATTGTAGGGTAACTGCGAGTCCATCATGCCGTCTAGGTCCATAACCTTCAACTGCGTAACTTGTTTGGAAACAACTTTTGAGCTTCTTCTCGATGAACAAAAGACTCAAATGACTGGCAAAAAGAAACCGAAGAAGAAGCAGCTGATGGACAGCGGCACATAAAGAAGTCCAAAACGTAGATCGTAGATCTTAGATCACATCTGGCCAAACAAGCCAGCAACAGCGTTAAATAGAGCTAAGAATATTGCTTTGCGGCTCATTTCGAGTTTCCTGGAAACCCAGCAACAAACACAAACGAAACGAACAGAAGAAGAAGAGGTAGAAGAATCAGTTAAAAATAGAAACGAAACGAAAAAAACTTAGAAAGTAGCAAAGCTTCTTGGAAGTTTTTACGACTTGAACTAGTTGTGAATTATTACGATTAAACATGGCGTCGCTCAGCTAATTTGCATGCACGTAACGGGGCTTATTTTTTAATGGGTGCCTCGTAACATTATGCAATTGCATTACTTATGAATATATAACAAATATAGTATGTGTGGCTTAAATACGTGAAAAGGGGGCGACGCCTTTGTTTCCGCCAAGCTATGAGTCATAGGTTCGACCCTTTGCCTCTACCCTTTGGGGCTGTTGCTTTTTAAAGTTCCTTTTTCTCGAAATGAGGTCACATATCAATTAGTTGTAGTCGAGGGCTCGTGCTGCAAAGGAAGCGCGCTCTGGTATCATTCGGTAGTGCCCTCGATAATATGGTTACAACTAACACAATTAATTAGCTGCATGCAAATGTTCAATCACTAAATGTGAGCATAAATAAGAGAGTGTCATTTGCCCATCTGAGGCTAGTGCCCTTAAGGGCCTATGAAATTCTGGTAAATATACATAAGTGATTCACAATATGACATACTACGCTTTCTGTCCTTTGTCTAGTTCCCTTATATGCGTTATCCTATCTTCTGTTCATCTATCCTCTATCCTCTATCCTCCTCTATTTTATTCTATTCTCTATCTTCTACTCCCTAGCATTATTATCCTCCATCTTTCTCCATTTCTCTTCTTCCATCTGACAACCTCTGAGTTTCTTTCCTATTCTAGCTCTAATCTATAAGACAGCTATTACATTCTACTTGGTTAATCTTCCATCTTTCGTATTTCATCTTTATTGGATCTATAATCATTCATCTATCTTCAATCTTTGCTACGATCTCTGCGCCCTTCGTGTGTTTACTGCAAATGAAAAGTTTTGTTTTGTACTGCGTCAGGCGTGATTTTTATGCCAAGAGCAACAGCTTTTAAACAAGTTGTAATTCGCAACTGGTTTAAGCCGAGACTTGCCTTAAACTAACTCTTAAGAGTTGGTTAACCTCGCTGCTGTCATTTTGGGCTTGAAGTCACGTTCGAGTCGCGACGTAATTCGATAAACGAGTGAAATAATGATACACATTAAGATACCCTAGGGATTGCAGTGTTTCCTGGAAAGGTAGTTCAGTGTCACTCACTCACTCTCTCTCCCTCCCTCATTTATTATATTATAACTGCGACATTTTGTGGCACGCGCTAAAATAGCAAAACTCGTTCAAGCTGTGGCCGGGGTTTTTTTTAATTTGTTTCTATTTCCATGAGCTTGTTGAGATTTTTGCGGTCTTGCCATGTCAATTTCCATTTGTGGACGAAATTCAATTGGAAAAAATTTAATTGAAAAGTTCAAATCGCTGACGCGATGCGTTGCGACACAAATTGGCAAATGACTTAATTCAATTGACATTGAATTTAATTGGTGGGCAGCCGGCACTGGAATTTATGCGATTGCCCAACCCAACTATTTCGATTTCTAACTTATAATGCTTAGGGCTCGAGTGCCGCAGGGGAATACGTGAGGAAAATTAGTCAAGTTTTGCCAGAGCTATTGGTAAATCGATTACTACTTGACTGTTATGCGACTCTAATGATAATAAATCAGGGTATGAATCAGGCAAATGATAATGGCAATGACAGCAATAATGATAAGGGTCGTATTGGGAAGAATAAGGACAATGAGAATGATAATGAGTAGCATTACGACAATGATAATGCTAATGATAATCACAATGATAATGATAATCGGTAATGATAATGACAATGACAATGGTAATGACAATGACAATGCTAATGATAATGATCATAGTGGGAAGAATAATGCCAATGACAATGATAATGAGTAGCATTACGGCAATGATAATGCTAATGATAATCACAATGATAATGATAATGACGATGTTGGTAATGCTAATGATAATAACAATGACAATGACAATGACAATGCTAATGATAATGCTAATGATAATGATCTTAGTGAGAAGAATAATGCCAATGACAATGATAATGATAATGTTAGTGACGATGACAATGATAAAAATAATGAGCAATTTATTATTAATAATGATATTAATAATATTAATATTTGCTAACAATAATATTAATGTTTGCTAATAATTCGCTTCTCTCTCATATTTCAGATCGGAGCGCTCGATAGTGCGCGTTTCAATTTACCAAAGCAGTCAACCGCAACAGATTTGTCCGCCAGCCGAATATACATTAACGAGTTTTTCAGATAATTTAGATAATACGTTTAGTAGCTACAATTGTAACATAGACTTCACGCAAATAGCGGCGGCAACGATGCAGCCAACCGTTGGCCTGGGACCAGCCTATGATAGACAGCAGAGGTGATTGAAAAAGCGCATTGAAAACGTTTTGCAATACTGATCTAATACAACGTTTTACAGCACTGATTCTGGCTGGGATAATCCGTTTCGTCCCGGCGGCGATTTGTCCAGAGAGGCTGATGAAATCGTGAGCATGATACGTGGTAAGAGTTACGCACACTCCTCTTCTCTGCAATTCTCACTTTGACTAAAATTCATTCCATTCCCATGACAGGCGGCAAGCCCATCACTCCCACAGAGGATCGTACAATTGGCAACGGCAACGCACAGCATGGCGATGATAACTGTAATGGCGCTACTGCAATAGGCGAGACAGTTACCAAAACAAATGTAAGCGTAACCGTAAACAAACGAAGAGAGAGCTACAGAGAGAGAGAGAGAGAAAGACAAGGAGCTACAGAGAGTGGGTGTAGGAGAACCATAGAGGACTACCATTGAGAACTACTCCATAATCATATAGATGTAATGAGTATTCCTACTACTAAAGATGATTTCATTTTCGATATTTGCAATTGTTGCAAGAACATATAATGCAACCGTAAAGCAGATAAAGGTCTTACAATTGCATTTATGCAAATATTGTTATAAATGTAGCTAAATGTAATAGAGATAAAGAGATACTCTTCTATATAGATAGTTACATTTCTGTTAAGACTTTGTGAACTCAAATTCCAAGTCGTATAAATCACGCGATAAATAGTTAGTCTTGGTGTAAAGTTGTGCTAAGCTTTTACTATACATTTTCGACTCGCTAAAAAACATTCACAGAAATTAACTCGCTATACAACACTGACATTTTAGCTCGTCCAGTCTCTCTCTCTCTCTCCCTCTTTGAAGAATATAAGTTCTCGTCAATTGGCTCTCGCTCAAGGACAAACTCGCTGAATGAATTCTACTCGCTAAGTGAACTAATCTTGTTTTTCAATTGTCTTGCAGCTCTCGCAGAATCAAGCGACAGCACAAAACGGTACAAATTCCCACGGCAGCAAGGTGGTCAACTCGACAGGAGTAGGTGGAGCAGGTGGCAATGGGGTGGCAAGCGGAACGGCAGTTGGCAAAGCAGAGAGCAATAACGGCGTCACTTCACTGGCTCAAGTCTCAAAGCAGGTGGTGCCGGGACCAACTTCGGCTAGTCACGTGGTCATCGACGAGAAGAAGAACAAGAAAAAGGGCTGCTGTGTGGTGCAATAATCAACGAGAAACGAGGAACAGCAAACAGCGAGCGAAAGCAGAAGTGAAACAGTAACAGAAACACACACACACAGACAGACACACAAACACACACAGAGACGACACGCCAGAGAGAGACAGAAAGAGAGAGTAGGAGCCCAGCTTGGACATATGGGCATATGGGGGATACTAGGGATACTGTATGGGGCGTATCATATTTAATGTTAATGTTAAATGCTAATTTTTTGAAGGGGGAAAAGTGAAGAAACCGAAGCTGTTGATATTTTGAATGCTGCTGCATTGAGAGATTTGCTTTGCTTCTACAAAACACACACAAAACAAACAGGCAAAAGCGAAAGAAAATAAAAGTATATAAAATAATAAGACAACAGTAAACGAAACACACACACAAAATCGAAACGAGACGTCAGCTCTCTTAACAGAACAGAACCAAGAACAGAATAATGTAAATGGCAATGCTAACAGTTGCAGCAACGCTAGCCACAACTGTTAGCAGTTATTGCCGTCTCACTCATACACACTCAATGCCCGCTATAGCTGTCGCTGTCTAAGCCACGTGCAGTTGCAGCTTAAATTTAATTTAAAAACAAATGAAACAACTATGATGATATATACTTATAATACATATGCATATATGTATATATCATATATATATATATTTATATATTTGTTAGTCTGGATATATATATATGTATATGTATATGTAAAGCCGATGCTATAGCAATTCAACAGAGCAAATGATGCTGATTCTATATATATGTATATATAAATATATATATATATATATATTCCTTTATATTTTTTTTTTGTAATATGACTCGACTTTATATACATACATAATATATATATATTATATATATATTTTTTTCGTATTTGTAAAATTAGAGCAGCTTTTTAAAGAGTATTTAAAAAGTCGATAACAAAAACAAACATGAACAGAAACAGTTTTTGCCTGCATGCATAATAAGAGAACAGAAAGAAAACAAAAAAAAAAAACAAAAACAAAAAAAATTGTATTTATTTTTTATTTATATGACGATGAAAATAATGAAATTAAATTAAATGTTAAAACCTTAAACAAAATATACAACAAAAATAAAAAGAAAACAAATATACACGCATACAAACATATAAAACACTCAATAACACACACATAAAGAGTTACAAACTAAGAGCGCGTTAAAGCAGAGCTTGCAAATGCCAAACGGTATATTTGCTGCAGCTAGCCCAGTTGAACTTACACGCATGAACTATGCACAGAAAACACCATGCATTGTAATATCGCGCAATTATAACTTTCGTCTTACTGGGTTCTTTTGAACTTTCATTTAAGTATATTCTAATGAATGCCAGACTTTAGGTGCCTCACACACGCACATACGAACATATATGTATATTGTGTGTGTGCGAGCGAGAATATTTTCTTCTACTTTAGGCAAGCAAGCTACACTGAAATAGATGCATATGTGTGTGTATGTATATCACACACAACCCACCCACCCAAGAACACACGCATATACAGATTCAAGCAACACACACACATACGCACTGCAGACTAGTGATATTTGTGCTTATGTAGCGGGATTCTTTTCGCTAGCCAAATATAAAGCTAAACCAAATAGTAAAACAGTAACACCGATGAGGACCGCCACCCACACTTACAAAAACCACACACACACCAACATAAACACACAGACACACTCACAGCGTAAGCATTAATGTGCTGCATTTGATAAATGTAATAATATTAAAAAGAAACGTAATAAAATTAATAAAAACAAAAAAATAAGAAATTATATGTTATAGCGAGCCCCGAAATATGTGCTAATTCAAGTTTCCAATAAACAAAATCAACAAAAAAATCAAAAAACTTTAAGCAAGCAAAAAATCAGAAATAACACTATAAACAAAGCAAAAACATGAAATCAATATTTAATATTGTATATTTCCGATTCCAAAACGCAAACAAATGTTAAGTTATTGTATAAATCCTAAATAAAAAGCAAAAAAAAACAAAAAAAAAACATGAAAAAACGAGCAAAGAAAAGTAACACAAGAAGAATTTTTATTTAAGTAGCGCTCTCTTAGGCGCGAGCAGAAACTCTGCGCAGCAGACTTCCAGGCGCGGCTATAAATAGGAAACGAATTGAGAATGCAGTTGATTTCCAGGCGTGTTCCAAGCCCGCAAGAAACTCATAGTACTGCAATTGCTGCGGTAAGTGTGAGTGCGCGTCAAAACTTCCGCTTTGAGTGTGTGTGGAAGAAGCAGAAAAAGGCAGCAACAACAACAATGCAGAATGACTACGCATTAGCCTTTCACCTTTAGTTCAATCAATTCAATTTGGCAAACAAATGCATAAAAAGTCGTGCTAAGCGGCAATTAAAAAACATAAATAACATTCATTTTAATTAATCTTCTGTGCCGAATAAAAAAGCAACCGATTATGGGAAACGAAGTTTGAATGCTCTTAAGAATTGGGTAATTGGAATCGTAGCAAAGTGAGCTTAAAAACTTTGATTTTTCTCTTAAATGTGTGGATGTTACTGTCAAGTAAGTAAAAATAAAATAATATGCTGACACAATTGACAACTTGAAGCGGGTATTTGCGCTCTTGAGCTGCAAAGCTAGAAGAGAAAACGAGAAATTCCGTAGCCAATTATATTTTTTGTATATTTGGGAATTTTCATATTTGTCTCTCTCTTTTTATTCTAGCATTTGGGAATTTACCAATAAGACATTAAGGTCAAAGAAGGGAAAATCCCAAATGGGATTCTAGGAAATGGGAACTTAAAAAACCTATGTTGTAAGGCAATATTAACAATTTGGAATTGATCATAAAATGCAAAGAGACTCTTAAAAAATCTGGGTATTTCCACAGAAAGTGTAGGTGCCATAAATATTTAGAGTTACAGTTTATTAATAAAAAACAACATTTTAATTCTGGAAATTGTAATAAAACAACCAAAAAATGACAATGTCATGAAGAAAAATGGGAAATTCGATTATTTAAAAGAAAAACTTTAAAATGTAGGCAATTTACTTAAGAGAAAATATATAAAAATATCATAAAGGGAAATCGACACAAAGGGGAATTTAAAAAATTTGACAATTTGGCAAAGAGAAAATGTACGAAATGAGGATTGATTATACAGTTTCATATGGAAAATTGTACACACTCAAAGCTTGTGTGAGAAAAGTATCAAACTGTTCCGCACGTTCATGGTACACTAAATATACCCTACAGATAAACGTGGGCAGGGAAGGGGACGATAAGAACTGCGATTTCGATTTCGATTCGAGTTCGTTTTCGTTTTCATTTTCGATATCGACACGAGTTGTTGGTGTGGGCAATTTCCTGATGCCAAAAACCTCTTGGCACAACTTTCAACAGTTCGATACGAAAATTTATGGCTGACATTTTTTTGTTTTTTTTTTCCTTGGCTTAATTTATGAACTTAATTCGAAAAGACATTTATAACAATTTATCTGGATTTGCGTTTGTTTTAGACATTTATATTTATTTGTAGTTTTTTCTACTTTTGGTTTCTTATTTTTGTTTTTCATTAGGATTTTTATGCTAGATTAATTGGCAGAGCAGCTGTCAATTTTTTAATTGCTGCGCCTAAGCAGCAGGCGGAACTATCGAATCGATGCGAATCGAAGCGAATTGTCCCATTAAAAAGTGCCTGATGATAGTAAACGCACACGCATACGCACACGCAAATGATGTATTACTCATGCAAGAACTAGAAGAAGCAGAAGAAGCTGTGTCTCTAGATTCAAATATATCTAGCTATCTATATTTCTATCTCACGTCTTATGGCCAAACTTGTTTTAGCCATAATCCACGATATGACACAATAAACAGTGGCTAAGAAAAGTTTAGCTGCCTAGTAAAAATTCGATGAAATATATAAAAATTGATTCAGTTTTAAAATATTTACGGCGCTTTTTACCTCTGTTAGGATATCTCCCAGTTGAGCATTTCCAACTAGCACAACTGTGACACACATATGCTGGCAACTCTTAGCTACAGGGTATTTATGGCCACACCTAAACACACTATTACGCTAAATGCAGCCATTTACTTATGTCAGTCACTGTGCAGCACCTGCCGCACCCTAATGAACCTAATTGCCGATTGCGGTTTTTCGTGCGGTAGAAAATTATGGCAGGGCAGCGACTGCGACGTCGACGCACAACAAGAACAATAGCGTGCACAAAGAACGAAGAGCAAAACAGCGAAGAGCAAAGAACGGCTATCAATTGCGACATGTGCAAACAAGAGCAAAAATAGAACAGCAACAGCAACTGTGTGTGTAAGCGTCACACCAATACACGCGCACACATGCATATGTAAATGAGAGCGAAAATCAGATTAATTTATGTGTAAAAAAAAAACAATAAACAATGGACTCGAAGCTGCGCATGCGAAGCACACGCACATATACAGTTGTATGTATGTAAATGCACACGCGCACGTCAAAAGCGAGCTAATTAATATGTGCGCATGTCTACCTAACTAACTATCTAACTGTAAGCAACTGGAAGGGAGAGGAGCGCCAGTTGTCGCTGTTGTCAACGACGCACGCGCTAGCTGCCGTTGCTCTCAATGTGTGTGTGTGTGAACGGCTTCGCGCATGTATGCGTGCGTTCGGAGTCGCGCTGTCTGGCAGTGTAAAACCTTTTGGAAGTGGAGCAAGTGTCTTCCATTGATTGAGAACTTTCTGAAGATTTGTGAGCGCTGAAGGTCGAGCGCTGTTAAGCGTATGACAAATGGCACGACTTGTGCTGAGTGCTTACAGTGCTTACAGCTGCCAATGAATTGAGCGTAAAGAGAGTGCAATGCAGTGGGCTAGTCTGTTATCTGTTAAGTTGGCTGCACGTGAATTAACAGCGCAATTGTATAAAATAAACTGTTAGTCGTTAATTGAGTGGTGATTGGAGGCATTTAACGGCTAAAACCAGCTTATTAAAAACTTTGCTGTTCGGTTTTATTGAATCTGGTGATTTAATTTGAAATTCTAAATGGCGAAACCTTAAATCAGCTATTTTTAGAAACGTAGAAACTCGATTTTATGCCTTTTTATTGTATTTGAGGGGAACTCTGTGAGGTTCGCGGAAAACTCAAATAAATTAATATGTTATTTAATAAATAACTCTTAACTCGTGCTTGATTATGGCATTAGCTATTTAAATTATTCTTAGTTGGGGTCTGGGAACCGGCAGTAAGCGCGCCTGGTTTTATTTATAAGATTGAATATACTGAAGTTCATTCTTCTTCTAATTCTTCGTCTTCTTCTTCTTCTTCATTTTTAATATAATTAGTATTCAAATTATAATTAAAAATTAATACAACCAGAAACAAGAAACTAACATCACAATCCATTTTGATGCCGTTTCTCTAGCCATTTCTGTGAATGCCTAATAGCCATAAAATGGCTAAAACTAGAGAGTTTATTAAAGCCAGCTAGCTTCAATTCATGCGTCATCCGAAATTTAATAGACTCTCAGCTCGTAAAAAATATCGTTTTCATTGTTCTACAACTTGGTCAGTTTAGTTCCCTCGATTCCTATCACCTGGAGAATATTATGCGCGTCTTTAGATTTGTGGGTTAGACTTG